CTCGCTCTCGCCTCCCGCCCTGCTTGAAGCCAAACAGCACTTCKGCTTTCCTGGCTTGGAGCTTGTGGGGCGGGAACGGCCTGGGAAGGGCTCCTTCCCCCCGGGGGAGCGAGCGGCTGAGTCACGGGCGGGCAGGACGGCCGAGCTGGGCAGCCTTGCGGGTGCCCCAGGGCAGAGCCCCGGGCGGCGCCAGGCCCACAAAGCACTCAAAGGACACCGAAGGCTCAAACAGCACCCTGCTCGTGCCAAGAGCCCAGAAGTCACAAGCAGCGAACGTTTCTCTGAGTGTTTGCTTTTACGGCTCGTATTTGTGAGGCTTTTCCCTAACAGGAAGGATTAAAAGTCTTTCTGATCTGCCTTTTCCCTTTGCAAGGCGAGTCACTGCGTGGCCACGGGGCTGGGCCTGGGCGCGACGGCCCCTGCGGAGGTGCCCAGACCACGCGCTCCCTGCTGCGGGCTGCCGGGCACGGGAGGGGCTCGCAGGGCACGTGCCAACCAGCCCCCCRGTCTCGCGGGGCCGGGGAGCCCGTCCCAAGGGCAGCAGCCGCCCACACGCTGCCCCTGAGCCACCAGMGCTGGCGGCCCGGCCCCTGCGCGGCCCTGCAGCCTTGCCTTGTTTGCAGGACTCGGGGCGCTCCTCTCCTGCTCTGTGCAGGGTCCCAGCCCGCTGCAGGGTGCCCCTTTGCCCCGGAATGGGTCTCATGGGCAGCTCTTGTGCTGGGGGCACTTCCACGGTACCCAAAAGGGGCCTGGCAGCGCCCAGAGGGCTGGCGTGGTGCTTGCCTCGCGCCGGGTATGTCAGGCCCTGGCCTCGGCCCGCTGGCACCCGCTGTCTCCAGCCCCTGGGAGGCAGTCGGGGTGCGCAGAGCTCAGTGCAGCAGGGACACGGGCACCGCAGCGGCTCCTCACCGTGCCTGCCCCAGCGCTCCTCCTTGGCCACCCGCCCACGCCCGGGGACAGCACAGAAATCCCTGGCTGCACTGGGCAGGATGGAAACTAGTGCATCCGTGTAAGAAAGCGGGCACGTTCTCTGCAGTAGGAGCAAYGGAGCCCCAGGACACCCCTGGCGCGGGCATGTGGCGCTCAGCACATGCCAGCTAACCTTCCCGCAGAGGCACTGACTGCAGGTTTCTCGCTGCCCTTCACCAAGCTTTCCTGCAATGTCCCTCGCCTGCAAGGAGACCCAAGGTGGGAGGACAGCTCTGCAGCTGGGGAGCTCCCGCAGAGGCTGCTGCTGTGGAAGGGCTGCGGGCGCCCCCCGCTCAGGGCCATCGTTCTGCAGGTGCTGGCGGACACGAGGTCCCTGGTTAGGGGGAGGATCCGAGGCAGGAGCTGTGTGTGTACAACAGAAACGGGGAGTTACCCGATCTGGCGGAGCTGTTTCTTCTGGGCTGGCTGCTGAACTGCTGAAATCCTCCTCCGAGGCTGCACAGAGCCATGCTGGGGGTTTAGCCGCGAGCTGCTGCCCTTGGCAGAGGAGCAGCGTGTTTCCAAGCAGGGAAGGAGAATTGGGATGGCTTTGCCACTCATCAGCTGCGTGCCCTTGAGTACACTGTGGAAATGTTCCATGTTTCAGGACAGGGGATTAATTGCAGCCCTCGGGGATGTCGTGAGGTTTTCAGCATTAGCACAGAGAGAAGTGGGATCTGCAGATGGGGAGGTGCAGCAGGGAAAAATCCCATTAAACCAGTGAGCCTAAACCTGTGTCCTTTTGGAAAATAACATTCTTCCTACATAGGCTCGGTTGTGGCCTACCCAAAAAGCCTTTTCTTAGGGCAGACATTAAATAAAGCTGGACAACCCAACCCAGGGATAGATGACAGAAGGACTGCAATGTCCATCGAGGACAWAAACATCTGACGATGCTTGAGGCCAGGAGCTGGACACGAGGACCTTTCAGATTCCCTTCCAGCTCTACATTCTCTGATTCAGCACCAGAAAAACTATTCCAGAAGCTGCTGTCAGCCGTGTRGGGCAGGCTGGCTTTACTGGTGGCTTTACTGTGCTTTCCCTGTGACTCTCGCTGTGGCGCATTGCCTCACTCATCYGCCTGAATAAAATTGTCCACTTCCCGCAGCCACGTTCGCAGCTGTGCAGGTGTGGGGGATCTCCCCTTGGGGAACACGTCCCTCAGCTACCGTATGTACTTGCTGGGATGGAGTGTGGCCGCTGGCGGTCACCTTCTCTGCCCRCAGCACGGGCAGGTCTGTCTGCAAGGCCTTCGGTGCAGCAGAGAGCGGGGTGCTGCTGACGGATTGCAGGAGGCCAAGGCCACAGCCTCCACGGGAGCTGCTGTAACCGTGGTTAAGAAAGGTTTAGGGCAACGCTCTCACCCTCTCCAGTGGTGGCCAAGGCCGGGACTCTGCCTGTCCGTCTGGTCAGGCGCTTCTGGCTCCTCAGCGGCTGGGTGAATCCCCAGTGCTAACACCTCTGGCAGGAACTGCRGGCTCTCCAGGTAGCCGGTATCTCCAGCAGCAACGCGATCCCTCTGTTATACCGGGAGCAGAGTCCAGAGGGAGACCCCAAGGCTGCTCGAGCGACGCCCCCAACCCTTCTGCAGCAGCAGCGTGTCCCGCAGACGGCCTCCCTCCGAGCGCTGCCGGCAGAGCTCACCACAGCTGCTCCCACAGCGAGCACGGCAAAGCCGACAGCGCTCCCTGCTCCGGGGCTTGAGCTGCACCTCGGGGAAGCGGTCCCACGTTTCGGAGAGGACTCCTGATCTGCTTCGTCACCAGCGCGGCTCTAGCACAAGAGAAGGGCGGCCTTTGAATAGAGCTACTAAATGCCATTAACTTGAAACACGATCAGCATTTCACTGGAGATAAAATTAGCATAGAAATGTTAGCAGAAAAGGCCATTGCTAAGTGGTTGTTTGAGGAAGATCATCTTACAGAAGGCTGCGTTTTTAAAAGATTAAATCACGCACACWTAAAGAAACATACATAATCATGTACTTTGTTTTCGTAAGATATCTGAACTTTACATACAAATGTAGATATTCAAGATACCAGTATATCCTGTGTTTATAATACTGGGTCCTTGATAAATGCATAAGATTATGCTGCTGTATGAAAACCTAAATGATACACTGGCTCCTGTGTAATCCGTGAAATGCAGATAGGGACGTATCCAGGCTGCCTTGTTGGCATCGCAAGCCAGGGAGCTTGTGCCCAAGCCAAAGCGCTGCTCCACCAGGCACAGGCTTTTATTGAAACAAAGGAGTGCTGCCTTTTCCGTGACCTATGGATGTGGCATGAAGGAACGCGCTGGACCTTGGCAGTACTGGCATTGTGTGACTTGCCCATCAAGGGTAACGAGAGCCCGTTACGGGTTTGGATGTCAGGGCGCAGGGTGCGTGGCCACCTCCTCGTGCAGCTGCCTGCGCCCAAGGCCAGCTCTCTGCTCGGGTGCCAGATCCAGGTTCTCAGGGCTGTGAAGAAGGAGCTGAGAGCRACAGCTCTATCCCTTCTTCCCTCAGTTCTCTCGCAAGCATCATTTAAACTGAGGTTCATCTGGGAATTTATATTCTCCCAGAAAAGTTAGCTCTGTGATGTTTGAGAGCACTTTTCTAACGTGGTTTTATGGAATGCCAGGACTCTCACTTAAATGACTCCCTCATCTGCCTCTAAATATGCAGARCCACTCTCTCAGAGGGTGTCTGGACCCACCAGTGGTCCCCTCCACAGCAGGGTCACAGGAGGCAGAGAGTGGCAGGACAGGCTAGGGCTGCCTGCAGCGCCCTTGTTCTTGGTAGGGAAGGCACAGGGTCTGCCTGCAAGTCTGCAGTAGCAATGACCCTGCAGCCACTAACTGGCCCGTCATCCGGTCAACTGAGCAGTGCCTGATGTTACCGACACAGCACACAGGGCTGGTAAATGTTCCTCCAAGAGATATATCATGCCCTTAATAATCTCTGTGATTTTCCTGCACCCAACCATCTCATTCTGTTGCCCTTCCTGAACATTTCTGTTCTGCAAGAGGAAATTCTTAAATGTTCACGTTTGTTTTTTTYTGTACTTCTAAAGGGCCACCTGGGAGAAAGACAGTATGCCCATAAGAAGTTTGGGCTCCTACCATCCACCTCAACTCTCATTCAAGCTGTTCTAAGACCTACCAAGAGCTAGTTCATCAGGTTGCTCTCTGCAGCGATGGAGAAGCGCTCCATTGGCAGGGCACAATACCGTAGCTGGCCTTTAACTGACATGTCTGATTGCAGAGAAAAGCCCCACATGAGGAGTGTTGTCCACTGCACTGTCTAAAGATGCCTCCCAACAGACACAGAGACTTTTGTTCTCTCCTCTGTCTGGAAGCTGAACAGATCTTCTTCCACTCTGGTCGGTGCAGGCCCTAGTCTTAGATGCCAGAACTCATCTGAGTTGAGTGTAACGATGCCAGAACAGTTGTTATCGCAGCTCAAAACAGAGCTAGAGAGCTAGGACTGAAGACTTACGCTGTGATAAACACATCAGGAGTTAACACATGGCTTGGTGCTGAAAGATGCCAAAGTATGTCCAGATGGGCCTCCTAGTTTACAACAAGGTGCTGACCTTGCAGCAACGATGCAAATTGACAGTAGGATTTCTCTTACTGCTGCCCCCTTGATTTCCCAGCCCAACTGGATGGGAAAGGCAGCACCAGGGACCTGATGTACAGGAGCAAAGAGGATTCCTCCAGAGCAGCTCACCCTGTCACGGATCATCACCTGTTATGGATCTTTCAAGGGAAAGCAAGGCAGCTTTCTGAGAAAGAGCTACAGGATCAAGTACAGGAAAACAAAGTGTTAGATAATAAAAAACAGGCAATTTATAGGCATCTTCCAGTTGGGAATGCAGGAGTCTTCACTGCTCCTGGCCTCTCTCAAATGCAGCAGGTGACTGGATTTAGGATTGCTTTATTAAAACCCAAAGTCTTACATCAGTTAGGAAAAAAAAATGGTAACTTTCCAAATTCCTGAATTGCAGATAGTTTCTGTCCTGTAGTATGAGTGCATTTTCTGCTTGAATAAAACAACCCTTTCTAAACATGTGACATTTGGCTTCAGAGTTACTGTTGGCACACCAGCATAAATGATGTGTGAAAACTAACTGCAGAGTTTAAATTGTGCTGATTTTATTTATAGTAAAACACACAAGTCTCAGCTCTTATCATTGATGCCTATACTTTCACCAGCAGAGATTTCAGGTGACAACTTGCTCCGATCTGAAGAGGATTTTTTCAAAGCTCCAAGACAGGGCTAGAAGAGAGGCCTTTGGCCTTCTCTCGATTCCTTGCCAAGAAGTCACAGAGCTGGTTTGTATTCAGAACGGTAGCATTACTCTTACTTCCCTTCCGTAGACATCAGGAACCGTTCCCAAAGGAGTGTTGATCATTCGGACCGTGTTGGTACCGTAGAGCTTATGCTCRTACTGAATGAGCTGCTGCCAGAAGCCGTTGTTGGGTCGTATGATGGGACGGCAAGCCTTGACCCACTTGTGTGCGCTTGCCAGAGACACGGACTGGTACTTCATGAGATAGGCTAAACACACGGCGGCCGACCTGCTGACCCCCGCGGCGCAGTGCAGCAGCGTTCGGCCCTGCCGCAGGCTCACGCTGTGTATCTTGTCYGCTACGGGGTCAAAGCAACCGTAGATCCAGCAGACAGGGGAATCTACCACAGGGATGCACAGGTACTCGATGTTTGGATAGATGGTGTTTACCACCTCCACGGCGACGTTGACGACAGTGGTGATGTGATTTGCAAGGAGCAGGACCTTGTTGTTGGCAGCGGCGCCATCACTGAGGTACAGGTGCGGGGTGATCCGCGACAGGCCGTACACAGAGGGATTTTGGAACAGCATGGGCAAAGCCCTGAAGGCTGCATTCATTGAGGTGCGTGGTATGGAGCAGCTGTGGTGGAGAGCTGCCTTTTGCCTAGAAAAATTAAGCAATAAGGAGATAAGGAACTGCAGGAGGTCAGTATGAACACGTGCAACACTGCTACTCAGCAACATGTGGTTTGGGGGTGTGTTAAAATAAAGTGTGTAGCCCCTGGCGTATTCACCTGAGAAGTGTCTTTGTCTCTCTGGAGCCGGTGTACGATGGGTCCTGATGGATTCTGCTCGGCAGCGCAATCTGGGAGACTCTCCCCGTCCTCAAGGGCCCATCATGCGAGTTCCCGACAAGCCCGTCTCCCGGCCGAATAACTCTGGGAGCCGCTAGCCCACACGTTTCCCTCAGCACCAGGTCTAGCAGAAGGCTTGGCCCGGATTGCGAGGGCGCTCCTGACGTGTTTGGAAGAAGAGCAGCGAGGCCAGAGCCGCGAAGGACGGACCTTGAGACTGGTAGCAAAGGAAAGGCTGCTCAGGGCCCGCCTGCGCCCCGACACCTTCCCTCAGGGGAGGCCGCGCGAGGCCGCCTCGCCCGGGGTGGCGGGGCCGGCTCCGCTGCTGCCCCTCGCCGCCCCGGGCGCGCCGCGGAGGCG